ATGGAGAGAATGCCAAGAGTGTGCAAAGCAGTAATCAGAGCAAAGGGTGGCTATTTTGAAGAAACTAGAATATAAAACATGTTTTCAGTTATTTCACCTTTTTTTGTTAAGTACATAACTCCACATGTGTTCATTCATAGTTTTGATGCCTTCAGTGAGAATCTACAATGTAAATAGTCATGAAAATAAAGAAAACGCATTGAATGAGAAGGTGTGTCCAAACTTTTGGCCTGTACTGTATGGTTAGTGAGCAAGTCTAAAATTAAAAGAGTGGAAGCTGCAATTACATGCCGCAATATGAAAATGTTGGACAAACAACATACTGATGACTCTGTTATTCTTAACTGTGCTGGCATATAAATGTAAAATTTGTCTTCACGATGGTGCTCATAAGGAAGACTGTGAGGATTTTAAAAATCTAAATAGTCTCACCCTCCTGGGGGCTTGACTGTGCTCAGTAATAATGTCCATACAAATCCAACCATTAGGTTATCATTGCATAAGTAATGCTCAAATTTAGCCTATAAGTAATATTTTCATGTACTTGTACACTGAATATATGCATTACAACATTATCAACAAACATCTGGAATTACCGACAGGTAGTAGCTTTCTGGCTAAGTAATAATTAGGCTTAGGCACAAGATAAGTAATGCTAACTTGTCAACTTTGGACATTTTCAATCTCACATTACTTCTTAAATTGTCAGGAGTGATAGCCTCCATTGGTACATCGCTCTCTACCATTTCTGATATTGTAATTTTCGAGGTTAACATAAGCATTTGGAATGTGACATTGTGATTCAAAACTGTATTGTTCATAAGACCTGACAAAAGCACTTCATTTTCAAATGTGGGTAGGCCGAGGCGAGAAGGTTGAGATTCGCTATCGTTAGCCAACACATTTATAATAAATGTTCTATATACATATTATAAGGGTGACTCAAATTCTACAAAGCTTCAATCGTTGTCACGGTAATCGACGTGCAAATCAGAAGGAAGGAAATGGCAAATGTCAGACACAAATGAGGCCAGTGTTGTCAGTGCAGTCATGGACCCTGCCTCAGGCGTTTAATTGGTAGTCCGATGAGGAAAAGGAAACAGGTTAGACGAACTGCGGATGATTATTCTCTGCTGCAAACTGTAGTGAAGCACTTGCTTTTGTATCTAGTGATGGGGTCTGACTCGCAGTGCTCTGAATTATTTATATCTGACAGATTGAAACTTTGTTTGCAATAGTCCACCTTCCACCTTTTCTCCCCCCTCTCTATTACTCTCTTTCTCTCACACCTGCATAGCGGGGCTAAATCCTAAAGTCGGCTCAGGTGCAGGTGGTTTATTAGTATATATGATTGATTACTATTCCCCATCAAAGCTTTGAATATTAGAGGATAATTACACTGATGCTTTGAAGACTGTAAAATGGTATTTGGGACACTCCTACATATTGTATGTAAAATATAACAAGTGTTTTTTGAAAAAGAATGAAAACTAAAAAAAAAAAAAAAACATATACATTTGAATAGTAATTTCAGCCTTAGATTAAATATTTCAGTTATTTGATTTATATTCGACTCCTGAAATATGTTCCAGCAGACCTATACAAAATGTCAGATTGGTGACCTTCTGTCAAAATAAAGGGGATTGAGCACGGAGATAAACAGTCTGTGATAGTTGAGAAGCTTCTCTAATTCCCTCTCAGTGTGCGCACACACACATAACTAGTTATCTCATTCAGTATCACACCACCTCTGTTGCGACTCACAGGCATGTTTATCATTTCTGATTTATTCTTAGCTCATAACCACACATGCTACCATCAGTCAAAATATAATTGATGATTAAGGATGTGCATTCCTGCTGGATTAACCGATGACAGACACACCGAATAGCAGGGATGGTGTGTGTGTATGGTGTAATATGTCCACTCCTGCAACTTTAGATCACATATGGATGCACTGTGTGTGGGTTTGCCACTGTTGCACTGTGTGCTATTTGTGGTTTCAGGGTATTACATAAGAGCTGATTCTTTTTCCCTCTCTGTGTTTTCCTTCTTCTCTGTCTGTGGTCTCTGCCAGGGAGAGAGTCAGGGATATTCCCACTTCTGCATGTTGTCTCCCTCTCTGCCTAAAGACGTGTTTTCTGTGTGTTGTTGTATGTCCAGAGATGAGTTTACAACTTTAAGGTGTTGTAAAGAGTTTGTGCAGCACAGGATGTCTCTTGCTTGAGGGATTTTAGTTTGCTTTCGGCAGAATGTGTCCACTGCAAGACAGACAGGTTTGTCCTCTCAGCTGCACTGACTGAGAGATAAGTAAACTAAGTAGTACAGAGAAAGGAGACAATGTCAGGAATGTTTACGAACAACAACAGAGAGCATTTCAGGTTCCCATCCTGCTGAAGCGCTCACATCCTATATTCTCATCCTTGTTTTCTCTCCGTCTCTCATTCTTCATTTTTAATTAATGCTGTTTTCCATCTGCCGTGCCTCTAATTTGCTCCATTTTTCAGTCCAGCTATCACAGGATTGGACAGAGACTCATTCTCTGTGTTCACCAGTGTGTGACATTATTTTTGAGTGTGTTTGTGCATGGGGCCTGCCTGTCTCCTGTGGACCAGCTCAGTGTCATCAGTGTTAGAGCTTCTGTCTTTCTTTTCATGTCTGCCACATGTGAGCAGTAAACAGCAGGAGAGGAACCTAAAAGTACAAATAGCAAGGAAAGCATCTAGGCTGCTCCTCTTTTCTCTCCCTGCTCACCTTTTTCACAGTGGCTAAACCATCCTCCTTTTATCAGATTAGTCATGGTCCACGTTTTTTCAAAGAACCCATCTCATTTGGCCTAGATGTGTTTGTGTGTGCATCTGTGTGTGTGAGAGAGAAAGAGAGATGTATAAATGCGAAAGCCTGGACTTAGAGTTATGTAAGCCATCCATGAACAGCCTCGGAGGCTGCGTGAGTGAACATGTGTGTGAGCACCGATCAGAGCTCTCATCCAAATGACTTTTCTGTCAGTCTGAAGGGTAGTTGCACCATTACCGATGAATCTAGGTTTGGCGTATTGATTTGTTTGCTGTCTGGTCTGGATGTTTTCAGTGAACAATAGATCCTCTGTAGGTTTGGTCACACATCATGGAATTGACGGTCAAAGTTACAGTTCAGATTGTATCTGTTTGTGTGGATATGGATGTATCAATACATATTGATTCTGAATATCTGAAATGGTTTTAATTCTCATTTTCTGCAGTATCAATACACCAGTATCTCACTATCCTTTTGTTAAAGAAGTATTTCATTGCTTGAAAAATGGTCTTTTCATAAAACTTGGCTGTCTGTGCTGTAGAAAGATGCAAATACTTTTTACATTGGTGCTACATGACCCGAGAAAACGCAGAAAAAGGACTGTGGCATATGCTTTTGCTCAAGATGTAAACAACCTACAACTAACACAATGCACTTTGTCGCATCGGGCCAATAAATGCTACTGCTGGTAGGGGTTGCAATGTGAACTCATCCGTTTGACACAATAGCGACCTGCTGGTAACAAACAATCTCATATGACAGTGAAATAGTAAGCTACATGTTTCTGAGAAAATTTGAGGCAAGAGTAAGGCAGCACAGTAACAGAAAATTGGTTTAAATTTGATCAGCGCTGCTTAGTTTTATCGTTCGATCTCAGTTTTTCCAGCCTCCATTTTCACAAAGCAGAAAGCAGTATGCCGTCCACTTCCTGTTCACAAACTCTTGCTACAACAGCTAAACAGGGCACTAAAATATGTTTCTAAAGTAATTTTATGTGAGTGATAGGCAGTGCAATAATATAATCTTGATTTATATTTGATCAGCTCTGCCTTGTTTTACTGTTTGATCGGATTTTGGTCCAAGTTTGAGAGAGAAAGGTGCAGGTCTGTCTCTTGATATGCTTCTAGGCAATACCAAAATTCGGAAGTATAGCCTGTATTACGAGCAACAGCCCAGGAGAGCCAGCAAAACTCCACCGGGTGACGCGTTTTGCATAATTTGTGTCATTGGGCAGAGTTTCACTCAGAGGGTAGCAGGGAGATCTAGGCACTGGTTTCACGGAGAGCAGTTGATTACAGTTCATTTACATATCTACTAACTTTGTTGTGATACAAAGCTGGTTAAAAATTGCAAAGTATCCCTTTAATGTTTACCACTGACACTTGCTGTTCTCTGCTAACCAAGGAAAGAATAGTCATCGTTGTCATGTTATAGCCTTTTTATATTTATCTTTTATTAGAAATTTTAAATTCTATGCCTTCAATGTCATTTTTTCCCCAGTGGTATCGAAAATGGTATTAAATATCAATATTTTTCAAGGTATTAAAGTGAGAAATTCCTGGTGTATTACAGTAATCATACAAGGAGCATTCTTTGTCCTTGTTAAAAAACACATCACTTCTTTCCACGTCTTCCTTTATTCACTCAGGGACAACAGGCATAATTGCTCTTTTTCTGCAAAGCTTTGTGTCACAGTCACATGGTCTCTGCTGGGAGCTGCCAAGTAAACAAACCATTAACAACTCAAATTACCTTTCAAACTCAGTTTTTGGCCGCCCATACATGCCAGCAAGTCATATGTTGATCTTTAGGGCTTTACTTAATTTGCTTTATAGTTGTGGGTAATTATAGAGGGTGTAATTTCAGTGAGATGGGTTTTACAGAGGGAAGATTTTCAGAAAGTTAGGATGGTGCAATGTTATGAGTTCAGGATATGCTATGAGCCGTAAATCCAATACAAACTCATGTCCTTACATTTTTAAAATGAACTCTTTGCCTTATCATGTCCTCCCCTGCTCTTTTTTTCATCTCCTCTCTCTTAAAGACACAAACGTCTGGTAGTCTGTCTGCCCCTGAGAAACCAGACGCTTCTTTGCCTCTTAAAACAGGAAGCATTGCCTCCCCCCCCCCCCCCCCTCTCTTCCCTCACAATTGGCAAACCCTGAAAGAATCGCAGGGAGAGGGGGAGGCCAACTCCTGAGAGCGAGTTAGCAAACATGCAGGAGCAGGGCGAGCCGATATCTGTTCACCAGCTGATCGTCCACCCAGACAGAGAGGGGAGGGGAGGGGAGCAGAGAGAGGAGTGACTACTGATGCTCCAGTAATCTGCACAGTGTGAGTCAGTGCTGTGGAGAGCAAAGCAGCAACAGAAACAGCAGCAGCAGCGTGAGACACGTTTTCCTCTCACAAGCGCCAACAGAGCAGAAGAGCAGGATGGGAAAGCAGAGCGGCTGAGCAAGAGGAGGAAGTGAGCAAGCCATATAGAAAGCAAGAGGGGTAGAAGCTGACATTAGAAGGGAGAGAGGCAAGAAGACAGATCGACAGCTCCTTTTTAAAAGTCTCCTTTTTAGAGCAGAAAGGACTGTGGAATATCACTGAACCTGACTGACAGCCGTGACAATCTAAACAAATCCAGAGGAAGAGGAAGTTTACCATTAAATCTTTGAGGTGGCAGCAGGTTCAAGACTTGTCGTGGTGCAGGGATGTCCTGGTTGTCTCCGGTCCAGTGGGCCAAATGGACATGGTCAGCAGTGACTGGGGTTGCGGGGGACGAGGGGCAGCCCAGATCCAAGGATGGCGAAGAGGACAAGTAAGAGGGCTAGGCCACAGTGTTTGTGTGTGCTGTGAGAGAGAGTGAAGAAAGGGAGCTGGTTTATAATTGCATCTGTGTGAGATGTAAAACCAGAGAATATCTAATAAGGAAGTAGTGATTGCCTCTACTTGCTTCAGTTTAAACAGCACTAGATTGATTGTGTTTGTGTGACGACTGCAGATTCCCCTGAGTCATACTGACAGGTGGTGGATATATACACACAAAGAGAGCAACACACACACACACACACACACACACACACAAACTGACTGATGCTGTGGTATAATCTCAGATTCTTTCCTATGCTGTGGATCCCACAGAGGCTGGGTCATGCTGTCACTGGCTAAAAACAGATTCTCAGTCAAAATACAGACACACAAACTGGTGTTTTGTGAGTCCCCGCTTTGTGTGCGCCATCCTGTTTCTTAATGAGGCACCAAACGCTGAGGATATGACTGTCTAGGCTTGTTTTTATGTGTCTGAGTGTGTGTATGTGTGTGTGTGTGTGTGTGTGTGTGTGTGTGTGTGTGTGTGTGTGTGTGTAGGCTGTTTGGCAGTCGGGGAACAGTTGCTAGAAGTTGGGGGAAGGGAAAAAAGCCACAGTTTCCAAATCTTTTGATTCTTTCTCTGTCCATTTCTAGTTTCTAAGTAACCATCCAAAATTGCGTCCGCTGGGGCCATCACTGGGACGTGATGCAGTGTGTGTATGTGTGTGTGTGCATAGTGGAGGGGGTGGGTATGTATATTAGGATTAGCTCTGGCTCCAGAGTGTGTGAATGTGTTTGTGTGAACCGGTATCATAGATGGAGTGTGGTCGGGTATTGGCACTGAGAGCTCTGCTCCCTCTCGTCCTGTTTTTCATTAGAGCGCAGACGTTTTGATGTGTGTTTAAGTGGCTGGGAACGGACAGGCACACACACACAAAACCACACAAACTCTCGCTCTCCCTGTCTCTCCCTTCCTTTTTGTGTCTCCACAGTTTGAAAATAAATTTGGGCTGGGTGTCTAGGCAGCTGACACAGCAGACCAAAAGACTCTGTGTGTTTTGTGTGTATGTGTGTGTGTGTGTGTACGTGTGATGGGACACAGTGTGTCCTTTTTGAGGGGCAAAGGATGCAGGTGGCCTTGCAGGACTTCACTTCCTCTCCTCTCCCTTCCTGCGACTTCCTTTAAAATAAAAGCAGCTTGTTTATTTTGAACTGCTTTGAACTCTGAAATCTATTGTTTTTATGTCACCTTAAGAAAACAGCAGATTGATGTTAGAAAGCCAATACTTATTTGTTAGAAAGGCTCTCACACTGCAACACACAGTTGAGGCGTTCACTGTTATATTTACATCATTTAGTAGCTGTGTATATATGTAGTTATTTAGACTGATGAACATTTTCAATGCTTCATTGTTCTCAAAGACAGAAGACTGCTGTTCCTTTAGCTTTAAACCAGGCAATGGGATTTTTTTCATCACATGCTCTCAGTCTGTTCATGATCATTTTGTTTTATGCATCATATTTGTCAGCTTATGCGTATTTTCAATGACAAACTGAATATTTGATGTTTAGTGCCAGATAACTTGCAACACATAGTTGAGGCTCCGACCTCTCTCTGGCCATCTCTTTGTATGTTTCTATCTTTGTCTATCTTTTTTTGAACGAATGTTCTGTTAAGATCTTCCTCTCTCTTCCTCTCCACAGTTCAGACTCAGAGGGGACCTTTGAGACTCCAGAGGCAGAATCTCCAGGTGTGGTGAAGCTGCTGAGCCAACTGGACAACCACAAAGGTGAGATGGCTCAGCTATTCAGCTAACCAAGCGCTCTAATACTGGTTGAACTTTGTCACACCTTAACAATGAAATTTTATATTCTCAGGCAGGGCTCAGTGTCAGCAACACAATGGTTTGGCCTCTAGTGATTCAAGGTCTGAGAAAGAATAGTATCAGTAACATTGTTAACACTGTGCTACATTACGCAGAAATATAAACCTGTACTAATGAACCTTCATTAATATAGGCCTATATTTTATCTACAAGTGCACATCACACACTGAGCGAGCCGCCTGTTAATGACGATGTCGGCAAAGCAGTAATGATTGTGCTAAGTGGCTAATGGGCATGTAGCTTCTTACATTTTACATTATGTTTGAGGTCGAGGAATGTCAGAAATGCAAATGTTTGCCTGCAGCGTTTACAGATCACCTTGGGTTCATCCTTTATCTTCTTAAAATGATCCCACACTTTGGATTTCCAGCCCGACATGTTATTAACTAGCCTGTGTAATTACCGCAGGTACCAGCCCTGTTAATTAACATGACTCCTGTCTGACTGCTGAGTTTGGCTACTTCCTGTGTGTGTCCTTTCAAACTGAACTCCCACATGGTCCAGTCATATAGGATTTGATTTATTTTGACCAGGCACAGCTCCTCATAGAGTTTCACATTTTGTTTTTGTTTTTTTCCAGCGACTAAGTGACCAGTGAGATCATGCCAACTAATGACGTTTCTGGTCATTAACCTTTGGTCGGCAATTAGGGGGCAGCCCTATCAGCAATAGTATTAAAACATTTCAAAGAATACTGGGTAGCGAAAGTGTGAAGGTGCCCGCTGTGAAATGTTTACCTCATGCATCTTACCATAACACCAGTGGTATTATCAGTATTTTAAATCAGTACCTTTCTGCCCATGGACGTCATTTGTTCTAAAACTGTGATGATTATCAACAGGTTGGAAGTGATTGTTCTCATCGAACTTTGTGCCATTCCATTGATGCAAAAAAGCTCTAAGTCCTTCACGCTGTAAAGCAATCAAGCAGACTTTGGCAGGCTTACATTAAAGTATTGGTTCATGCAAATTACAAACAAAAGTATTTTCTCACTGACCTCCAGTCATACCCGCTCATAACGATACTTGTGCAGTTTTTGAGATATTTGGCTTTGAGATTAGGCTTAGGGTCAGGTATTTTGTGTGAAGTGAAGCTTTAATATCAGCATAATGACACTAATGTCTTGAGACTACATTACTGTATGTGCACTGTTCCTTTGTGTCACTATGTTGTTCTTATGTCCACTGTGTCAGCTGCAGAGTCAACTTGCCTGCTTCTGCTGATCACACAAATCTTAGATCAGTTGTCAGTGTGTATGAAAGTTGAAGATCTAGTGTGTGGGATTTAGTGGTAGATTGCAGCCAACTGAGCTTTCCCCATATGTGTGTAGGAGAACTATGGTGGCCAATGCGAAAACATTAACGACCCTATCTTACCTGACCTTAGAAACATGGTGGAATTCATAGCAGAGGCCAGCTCCATATGTAGATATAAACAGCTTATGCCAAGGCAAAAAAACCCCACCTCATCGCTTCTTATTTTCAGATAATTATAAACTAATGAAAACATAGTTATGAATATTATATTCCATTTCTGCCAATATATCCTCCAAAGTCGTCCACACTGGACCTTTAGGTGTAAATGCACTCTCTCCTGTAAGGCCCAGACTATTAAATTGGCTGATAAATGGGTAGTGGATGAATACAGTCTGTTTGAAGCTGCCAGAGAAGCCTGCTGCTGTCCAATCCACAGCCCCCTCCTCATCCCTCCCCTCCCTCTGTCCTCTTTTCACCCACACACACTCGTGTACCACACATTACCATGGTAATAGATAGTCTGGAGTACATCTTCTGTGCTGAAACAAATGCTATCATATCACTGATGTCTGCAAATTCCTCTCCTCCATCTTCATCAATTTTAATTTAAGTGATTAATTTTGACATGTACTACACAGGATAAATTTGGTCTGCATGTTTTGGATGGCTCAGCTAGTTGAAATTAGATCTGTTTGGACCACAGCGTATGGGACACTGTGCTAGATAATTAGAGAGAGATTAATGTGTTTATTATTGAGTCTAGTTTGCAGACAATAACAGTCTCCCTTTCATGCTAAACCAGTCACATGCTCTGTGCAAAATCTAGGTTAGTTTCATGAATAAAAGATCGGCTGTGTGGTGAAACCAATATTCTGGTTCACTATAATTAGATGGCTCAGGGTGGAATCACAGTCTTTTCATGGGAACAGCCACACGCCACATTCAAACTGTATATACTGTTGAACCAGGACATAACTGAAACCTTAGACAGCTTTTGTGTCTACCTGAATACTGTCTGTCTGTCTCTCAACCACTTCCTTTTCTGTCTCCTTTTCCGCTTTTTCGTAGAGTTGTGAAACTGCAATAAAGCCTGATGTTGTTTTAGTTGCTAGGCCACGTGGTGGTGTGTACTCTGCATGACTGGGTGCGGTTCCTCTACATCTGTTCCCTTTCTCCAAAGGGCGTGTGTGTGTGTGTGTGTTCTGAAAGTACCCATATTTTCAGCAGAAGCTTACATAAACTTGCATTAATTGAATGCATGATGTAATAAGTCAAATCATCAGCCTTCAGTCATGACAAACGATGCGAGAAGCTGTTACCCGCCCAAGGTGAAACCACAATGACTTCATTCATGGTGTGTGCAAGTGGAGAAGAAATATAGAGGAGTTTATTTCAGTTTTATTGTTCTGTGTAGTTGTGTGAGTTTTACAGTATGAGTGGAGTATTTTTCAGTAACAGAGAGTCCTGTGTTTCAGCAGCAGTGTGACTCAACGGGGACCGGCCCGCTGCTGTGGTGGTTAGCTAGCTGTTAATGGGATATGTGAGGACACAGGATGTGAAGTGCTCTGAAAGGAAGCCTGCAGCCATTTTAAGTGCTCTAACAGGAGAAGGAGAGGCCGTCATTTGAAGTTTATATGTCTGAGTGACAGATTAAATCATTAAGTAGCGATAGAATGGGGGATGTTTTAATGTTTTGGGAAAGAGATGTTGAAGGAAGAATTAAGATCTGCTTCCCTCTGGGTCAGCCCTGCAGTGTTTCTCCTTCTGCCTTTCTGACTCGAGTTTCTCTGTTGCTGTTGGTAAATATGTCCTCATCTGAAACTCTGTATTGTGGTGTGCACCAAGGTTCTGTCCTGGATCCTCTTGTATATATACTGTGCATATAAACTTTCCTTGACCAGATAGTAAGTCATTTCAAAAGGTAGCTCCTGTCACAGATATGCAGATGATATTGAATTATTCATTCCCTTTAACCCTCCTGTTGTCTTAAAGCATCTGTAGTCAATATTTTAATGTTAACAATTGACAATGTGAAAACAAGGTGCCAATATGAAAGGGATCACTCATAGTGATGAACCCAGAGAAAATTATCATCCAAATCTGCAGCCCTCCTTTTGTTTTACAGAGCCCTACAGTACCCGACTCAGAATTATGGCAGTTGAATCAGATTTGGCTATTTGGTATGAATATTCAATGATTTTTTTTCGTAAATAAAGCTTTAAAGTTTGTATGGGGTTCAGCGGGACTTTTATTATAACAGTGACATTTACGTAATATAGTAAACAAGCTAACGACAGATCGGGAATGTGCAACAACATTTTTTGCAGACCCTAGATAGCAAACATTGAAATTGGTGCCTCATGACCAGAAAAAAAAACAGATAAAAAGGGCTGTAGCATTTGCTTTTGCTCAAGAGGTAGAAACCTATGACTCTCAGTGTGCTGCAACAGATCAATAAATGCTCCCGCTAGTGGGTGACATAATGCGAGTTGCTCATCTGAAAAAAAAACAAACAATGGAGGCAGACTGTACAAACAATCTCAAATTACAGTTTAACAGTAAGCTAATATGCGTATGTTTCTGAAAATATTTCAGGTGAGAAATAGATGATGCAGTAACAGAATCATGGCTCATATTTGATCAGCACTGCTTAGTTTTACAGTTTGATCCAATACAATAAATAATAATAAAACAGTATGGACTCTGTTCTTGTTCACTAATTCTCATTTTAAAGCCAAACTGCACTAAATTATGTTTCTGAAGACATTTAAGGCTGCAAAGTATCCCTTTAAGTGTTTCATTCAAACTGTTTTTTTCTTGCCAAAAAACATTGCAACACTCAGCTCCATTGTGTCATAAGTGAGACTTGGTGCAACTATTGTAAGTCCCATTTCACCTACAGAAACAAAACATCCCTGGATTGTTTTCAGTTGGTCCCTCTAAAAGGTCTTATTTTGCACCAGTGTTTATTTCTTTACACTCAGATTTGAATTCAAGATTCTTGTGATGACCTTTACAGCTCTTAAGGGTCAGGCACCAGCCTACATCAGATACCTACCGCAGACTCAAAACAAGGGGACATTGTCTTTGAGGTTGTGATTTGTGGACACCTTTATAAAACAACTTCAAAACATCCACCTCTTTAGTTTGTAGTTATTTCTATTCATGTTGTTTCTACTCTTTCTGTTCCTTCTAAGTCTGTATTACGTGTCTGTTGCCTCATTTTTTATTAAGAGGCACTTTGTGATATTCTGTTTTTTTACAAGGTCCTTTATAACTTAGTTTTGTTTCTTTTCTTCCCTCTTCACAGTTCTTCCTGATGTTACAAACCACATTCTGGACAAGAACTCCAACCAGGATGTCAGCCCAGTTTCATCCCAAGACGTTGATTCCCTGAACAACCTCACTGGCTGCTTACCTAACGACCGCAGCTTTGGTTTGGACCAGAACCTCAACCTGACCCTCAGCAGTAGCAAATCCAGCCCTGGAGAGGGCCTCTCACCATCCAGCCCTCTGCCTCAAGCCCTCAGGCCGCCAACACTGTCCGTCCTCTCCCCACTAAACAAGCCCGATCCCTCAGAGGTGGACGACGAGGCTCCGGTGACGTCTGACTCCAGCCCGGATTCAAACTTGATCCCCAGTCATGACATTTGTGTGGATCCTGACTTGCTTAATGGCAACATGAACTCCAACTCACCAAACACAAAACTGACCTGTGAGAGCAACGGCGCAATTATCACGTGAGTAAAACTCAAACATATCCACAGGCTTCTTCAGCCATCAGTCAGTAGCTGAACTAATGTGATTCAATAGGTTTTCTAGCAGAACAATGTTCTTTCTTTAATGGTCGTGGGGAACAAAAGTGAATCTCTGCTGTGCACAATGTAGGCTACCTGAAGGGACCAAAGTGTTCCCATTTTAACCAGCTGTGGTTGCTTGTAGCGTATCCTCAAAAATTCTATCAACTGTTGTTTCTCTCCTTCACATCCATTCATTTCTCATCAGCATTATTATGGTTTATTATAGTTTTGTTATTGCTTTTAGTTATCATTTTATTTAATAATTTCAGTTCACTTTATCTTTTAAGTCCGTTTTTAGGATGATTTGTTTTTAATTTGCTTTCAGATGCAGATTTAGGTCAATTTTCAGTGTCCATAGCTGGATGAAGTATTTTTAAGAACCATTTTGAGTTTGCTGACAGAAAATGAAGTTTGAAAGGTAAAGAGACGTTAAAGTGTCAAACGTTGCCCTCTTGTGGTGTATGTCTGTTAGTTTCCTGCCAAAGAAGAATCACAATTCACATCTCTATTACAGTATATATTGTAATCCCTGATCTCTTTGTGTGCACAGATGACCAGATATGCTATTAGAAGTTGGTTCAAATGATGTTATTTAGTTTGTTGATTTTTTTTCAAGCTGAATGAGTGGTTTGACATGGGAAACACAATACTTGTACAGAAACAGGGCCTTTGAATTACATATGTGATGAGTTGCATCGTGCAGGCAATTATACAGTCAACTTCCTGTTTATTCCAAACACCCTCCTTATCTCATAAAAGAGTTTAAAGGAAGAGCCAGGAAAATACTTTTATTGCCAATTTATCTTTCATTATATTACTTAAGTTGGCTAAGGAGTTTTGGGATATTTTAATTTCACTTTGATTTCAATATTTTGTTTTCAGCAAGGTTTTAATTTGTAGTTTAATGAAAACTCTCACATGTTAACGCTCAGTCTTGTTTTTTTAATTTACTAAACTATAATAACCCTGCATCCCTGTCCCGTCCTCTCCTGTGTCTTCCCTTCCTTTTTCCTTCCAAACCTGTCATTCTGTTTCCCTTCTCTCTGTGTGGCATCAGGACTGCTGAGCAAGTCCATTTCCTCTGTGTTCTGTTGTAAGTACTGTATATCTGTGTGTACAGACGTGTGTGTGTTTGTAACCTCAGTCCCCTTGCTGTTCTTAAATGTAAGTCCAAGTCCAGGTCCTCCACTTGACCCAAATTGTCCTTAAATCACAAAGTGAAGGTGAAAAAAAGCAGTAGGAGTAGATTTAGGAAGTAGAGGAGAGAGGGTGTTAGTGTAATTCCCTCTAATGCTCTGAGCAACTGTTCTTGCTCTTATTTCAATTTGGAAACAATCCTTCATTAATCTACTTTTTCTCTCCCACTTAATTCAGCACTTTTAGCAGAGCATGTGAACACAACTCACACACAGAGCAGAGCAATGAGGTCTGGCTGTAAGGCTTTCTGTCTCTCCTGCTTCCTCCTTTCATCATCATGCCTGCCCACATGTACACACATGTGCAGAGATATGAACAGGTTGGTGTTGACACTGATGTTGTTATTGAACCTTTATCCTCAGGAACTCCTGTAAAGCAAAGCAGAACCAGCTGATGCAAAAGGACTTCAGCGGACAGGTAAGAGCACATAATGTTTCTGCTTCCTATCACATGGTGCGATTAGCATTTAAAAAGCTTCATACAGTCAGTGTAGTTGATTATATTTGCTGTTATTACAGGATGACCATCATGGAGACCACGCCACAGACGAGGAGAAGTTGGCGAGCAGTGTCGGTGTCAAACCAGACAAGGACCAAAGCAGTGAGTAAAAGGATCAATGAAGATTGATTTTAATGTTGCGCCACCCAGTTACAGCTCACACTGATACAGTAGTGAATAGTTCAGTTATCAGTGAGGGACTCTACTGTGCAGAGATCAGATAACTGGATGTTAGAAAGCATTCTTCAGCTTTGCTCAATCGATACTGAACAGTGAGAAGGTCATCTTTACCTCACTGTTACAGACACGCACATTAATCATTTACTTTACACATCATTTATCATTGAAGCTTGTGACTGTGTAGGTCATGAGCACTGTGATGGTACATTTGTTTAGAGCAGCTGTGTAGTCTGTTTGCTCTGTTGTTTTGGTGTGAAAACACATTCAGATTGAACGATCACACAGCAGCAGGTGCCTTCAGGCTGCTTGTGACACAGCTTTAGTTACTGGCTGTTCTGATCTGAGCAGGCCGCACACACTGTTACAGGTGTTACATAAGAGTACATCACTGAATCAGGTGCAGTAGCCTGTGATTTCAAAAGGTATATATTTTTTTTTTATTTTTACTGTGAACAGGCAGATTTCAATGCAGAAACAATTTTTTATGAGTTTGAAACATGAACAAACAGTAACTCACAAAGTTATCATAGTTTTGTATTTAGTATTTTATAACATGGGGGGTGTTTGTCAGGTGCAAGATTTCAGAAGTTCAGAATACTTATTACAATACATAGCAGTCATGTTGACATCCTAGTCTCAATGAACAAATGCATCAAAGCCTTCTCATGCTTGATGTGTTTACACATTTGACTACACTAACACAGACTAAAACTGAAGACTTCTTATGTATATTTTTATTTTCTTTAGTTAGTAGTGTAAATACACAAGATCGTTTCAGTCTTCTCTTCTTTTTTTTCTAAATTCTAGTTTTAAGTTTTTATTTCAGTGAACTAAAATAACGTTTCACACTTAGTTTTAGTTTTAGGTTTAGTTTCAGTTAAATACAACACCCTTTCTCACAGAAATCTGTCATTGCAAGAGGAAGTGATGAAGATAAAATGCTGCGACAAATGTCAAGCCAAGTAAAACAAGTCATTATGGCTCCTTTTGATTCATCACTAAAGTGGAAGCAAACTGCCAGTGGTGTTTATTTCAAGACAAGACTTAAAAACGTGCAACTGTGCATTTAAAAGGTAATGTTGCATAAGTCATGAGAATACTACTGAGAATACTTTTATTTTATTTTAGTTTTTATTTCTTTTTCAGTGACTATGAGCACATCTGGTGGCAATAGTGGGAGAAATGTTCTAATGTACTGCCACCTGCTGGCCATGATGATGAACTATATTACATTACCAGCCACAACATCTCTCACCCCGAATTCTTGTTAACATGTGTATCACTTTCTTTCAGTTCAAGACTGCCATGTGAATTCAAAACCTAAGGACTCTGACTGCTGCTCTGTGGTAAGTAAATACCACAAATGATCATCCTACATGTGCTGTGTCAGGCCCTCATACAAGCTATTTATTTATCCTCATCGCCCAACACTCTCATGCATAGGACATTTTTCATGGAAGAAGCAATAGCGACTGTTATGTGATACCATCAGTGACCACTGAGTGGGGGTGACGCACTCTTTTACCAGTGAAACTAAACTCCCACCATCAGTTGTAGAGAAGATATAAACAAGTCTAGACTTGCCCCAGCATTACATTTCACTTGTCATTGTATTGGTCACACTGGGACATTGTGTTCAGCTCTTTGTACTTTTATTTGATGTGAAATGGTGAGAGTTACACAAAATATGAAAAACTGTGTCATTAAACAGTCTTAAATTTTAATTTCTTAAGTCACTATTGCCACACACATTTTTTCTTATTTGATTTATCCATCTTTTAATTTCTTTTTCTCAAAATGAGTCAAGTTCTTCTGTATTAAAGTCCACATTTCTGATCTGACCTACCACTGAAATTGTCTTTATACTTGCACTTACAAAACGTAGATTATCCTAACTCACTGTAATAACCATATTCCTAAAAAACCTACCTCTGCTTGGGACCACACACTACTTACCTGTGTTCTTACCTGCAGTACTTGAATAAAAGATGATTCAGTCTTAAATTTGATGAGGAATTATCTGAAAATGTCTTAAGAAGCATTAAATTGTGTCAGATACCCTGTGTGCAAGTAAAGTGTATTGTGACATTACGATCTAATAGACCGCCAGTTTTGTGTTTGGAGCCACCTGCGTTGTTATCTAAAGCTACAGTCTGATCGTCTGTCTGATATGATGACGGCACTGTGCTGCTGACAGCAGGAGGTACTTAGTGTCTGCCACCATGTTCATGTTCTCAGGTGACAGATGGATTTAGATTATTACCCAGGAGATTAGAATATGACGGTCATAATCCAGGGAAGGACAAAATGAGAGAGGAGAGACGGGGAGTAGAAGAGGAAGGATTGGAGTGTGCAAACTGAGAGGCAAGAGGGGTATGGGGTAAAAATGAGAATGAGAGAGGATTGAGAGAATGGAGTCATAATTTGCAGTTTATTACAGAAATAAATGTTTGTGTCTCCCATTCATTGGTACACTGTAACTAACTGGTGATATAAACTATAGCTAGTAACATGACAACACTTGTATTGGCTTTCCTGAGCACCAGAGTATAATGGGTTTCTTAGAAAAAATCATTTGTAGCACAGAAAATGCATTTTAAACTAATGAAAGAAAAAATAAGAAGACACAATATTAAACAACAAACAAATGAGGAAACACTAGGAAAAAGGGGGGGCTTGTGTAAAAGGTATAGTTTTATGGCAGTATAATTGAATCTGCTACTTCTGTTTTAGTCATAAATACCTCATGGGGCTTACCTCCCATCATAATACTGAATGCACAATAAAAAACAAATGTCAACATAACTGATTTCCCTCTCCCTTCAGCAGTTCGATGACCCATGCAAGCTGAAGAAGAAGTCGGAGGGAAGTGAGATGCAGAAAACAGGAAGTCAGGTCCTGGATTCCATCTGCATCAGTGAGGCAGAAAAACAGGCCGTTCTCAGCCTCATTAAAGAGGAGGTACACACTTTTATCACACTCATCCCACATGAAATATGCCATCAGTGTGTTTGTGTTCGCCTTAATGGATCGTGAGAGTGTTTTTTCTTTTGAATGCTCAATTAAGCTCACACAGTAGACATCTCTTTTCAGATCATCACTAAGGAGGTGGAAGCCAGTGACTGGAAGAAAAAGTTTGAGGACAGCAAACAAGAAGTCACTGAGATGAGGTTAGAAAACATGTTGCTGTATGCTTTTTACTCATGGCCATCACTGATTGATGTCAGAGGGGGTCCTGTGAGCTTGAAACATTCTGTCCACAGTTTGTCATAAATTTAAGTATATTTGTTTTGTCTCTTTACAGGAAGATTGTTGCAGAATATGAGAAGACAATCGCTCAGATGATCGGTGAGTGGAAATGTCAGAAGAACAGGCTCCTGTTTTTCATGTAACCATATAAATCACTGGTTGCTGTTGTGATTTTAGTGCCACTGTGTGTTTGTGTCATCTTGTACTGTGAGTGTCCTGCTACACTGACTTAGACGCAGTAACATTGGTCCACATTGTCTTGTATCAGGAGAGATAAGGTGGCAATTAAGAAAGCATACATTTCACTCAGGTCTTTTCTCTTTATTTTTTTTTTTACATATCCTTGATTATGTGGTTAATATAATCACTGTTATAAGACTGCATGTTATTTAGCACTCCACAATAATGCCTCCGTCTTTGCTTCTCTCAGAGGACGAGCAGCGCAACAACTCAAGTGCCCAGAAGGCTTTGCACGCTGTGACAATGGAGAAAGACGCAGCCCTGGCAGACCTGAACTCAGTGGAGCGCTCTCTCTCTGACGTGTTTCGGCGTTATGAAAATATGAAGAGCACGCTGGACGGCTTTAAAAAAGTAAGGGGTCATAGGACAAGTTCATGTCTAGACAGTTGCTCAAGGAAAGTGTCACTTTTAAGTGCTGAGATGATCAGCTGATAGTTGCACAAGTTGGAGGGCTGTAAGAGAATTAAGGTCAGAATGGACGGTAGATTGTGATTAGGGGTGGTGGTCTTCTAGAGGTGAGAGCAGCAGGGGTTTACACTGAAGGTCACCATTTAATGAATAACATACTGTTGTCTCACTCAACAACTGCCACAGAATTAAACCCCACAATTAAAGATGTTTACCCCCAAATTTCAAGCCTGCAGCTGGTTTAAAGTGGCAATAACACTATGGTTGTTTTTTCTTTCTGCCCACAGAATGAAGAGGTGCTGAAGAAGTGTGCTCAGGAGTATTTGGCCAGAGTCAAGCAGGAGGAGCAGCGATACCAGACTCTTAAAGTCCACGCTGAGGAGAAACTAGACAAGTATGTCAAGTCGATTATAAGAAATTAAATACTTTTATGGGTTTGAGATGGTGTTAATTTACCTTACTCCATGTCTCAGGGCCAATGAGGAGATCGCTCAGGTGCGTGCAAAGGCAAGCTCAGAGAACATGGCATTGACCGCCAGTTTGAGGAAGGAGCAGATGAGGAACGAGTCTCTAGAGCAAGCGCTGCTGCAGAAGGTAACAAGCATTCTCATTTTTCTGCATCCTTATTCTAGATGAAACATGAGACTTGCAAAAATACACGATACAACATATTTAACCTGTGTTTACAGATACACGATGCAAAATCTCAAAAAACATTGTACAGACTTATGCAGAAGTAATTATTCTCAATCATCACTTATGACCAACTAGACGTGTGTGGTACTGTGATTTTCTGCGGAGACTCTGCCCTCTGTTTTCTTAATTTCTTCCTATTTTCCATGTTTGAGACATTCATGGGCGTGTACCTCCACAGCACTCAGGAGAGGTCAGGCTTTATGAAAAGGTAGTAACCAGGTGCCAGCCAGACTGTTAGCAGCAGGCATCCAAGAGACACAGTGCCAAGAAAACGCACATCTAGCCAGGCGAAACGCCAGATGAGAGTGAATCTGGGGTTGGCTTTTACTTTCACTGTCACTGGCGAGAGTGTTTACAAACAGTAACCGACAATCCTGCATAGAATACCTTTGGGGCACGGTCACACATACAGGAAATAAACATTGGCAAATAAATGCCTCTTGTTCATTTCAATTCATTGTAAATGAAGAGGTGAATAAAACATTTGCTTCCACCTCAATCAATAACAAAGACGTGTGGAGGAGACAGTGATTGTTGCCTTGTCCAGCAAGACAATATTTTGTGATATTGACCATGAAAACTACAGACTGCCACATGAGAGATGCTGTCTGGCAGAAAGTAAGACAGCGATGGAATGTAAGAATAACATCATATTTCGCTGTATTTGTTAGCAAACTAGCTAATATTAGCTAGCAAGCTAGCTTTCTGTGTGTGTCAAATCCAGCACTGCCCACATTCAGCCCTAATATCGCCTCAACGAGCGATGGTCACTCACCTACAGTCACTCATGTGTGACTGTACTTTTAAGATGTATTTTAGTGCAGGATCTTACCATACAGAGGTGTATTAATTGTACTTATTTATCCTTTGTTGTGTTGTTATAGAATCAAGAAATAGAGGAACTCACCAAGATCTGTGATGAGCTGATTGCCAAAATGGGAAAAATAGACTGAGAGACACTCCCTGTGAATTGGCCACTGCCGTCCCTGCGGTCCTGCCTAACAGTGACGCCCTGTGCATGTCCCCAGCCGAGAAGCAGCTCTCGTACCCTCTGCCAGCCTTGCGTAACATAGACTGTCTATGTAAAGATGTCTAAAGTAACTTTCTATATACTAAAATTGCACTACTTGTGACCTGAATCAAGAAGGTTCTGTACATGCTAATTATAGTTTAATCTCGGACTGTGTTATATGTATGTGGTCACATTGTTTTGTTTGCATTTTTGCCCATCATGATGCCATCTGGACCTCTTGTGCTTCAGCCCATCATGCCAGTGAGCAAACACCCGCTTGTGACTCAACTTAAATTCCCATCAGCTTAACATCTAAATTCCCAGCAGCTCCTCCAACAGGATGACATCATGCAGGCGGGGGTTGTTTTGGAGTTACATTTAGGCGCACAGAATATTTTGACGGGCTTTGACAAGGATTGTTTTATGTTAAAGCAACAATCTGTGAAATGTATTTTTGTATAAAGTAAACAAGGATTTTCTCTGAAAGAGCAAAGCTCAGGGGTATTGTGTGGGGCAGAATGAGGTCAGGGTTAAAATCAGGCTGCACAAGAACTGGAGGAAAGGATGTAGGATTGTTTGAGGACATACGGTAGTCCTCAGAGGCCTTGGTTTGTTCAGGAGTGACACTGAAGACAGAAAGAATCTGGACCACATGTCAGTGAAACTAGTGCTGCAAATAATTCACAGCATTTACTTTACCTGGATTCTGGACACAGTGTTTATCAGTCACAGAGAAGTAACACAACCTGACAATCATAGACTTTCCTTTGATTATATAAACTTTGTGGAATTATCTTCTCTGATCCATAAAGTCGCTAAAATGGAAAACTTAAATGAACTCCACCACTAAATGATCCCGTGTCAAGAATCCTGAACAACTGGAAAACTTTAAACAAAATGACTCTATTTTTGTTGAAGATATTTAAAACTATTATAAGAGTAGCAAGTGTTGCAATATGTCAACATTATTTTTCTTTTTAAACCAACACTGTGTCACAGATTGAGTGTCCACTAATCACATTTACCTCCTACCATGAAGGAAACTAAGTTTGACAGCATTGTAAGAAGTTTCTTTAGTGTAATGAAGATGTGAGCTCTCATGCCTGTATTTACAGCACTGCACCGGTTTACACAGCAACAGATATATCTGTTTCTTTGCATGATTATTTTCATAGCTTTTTTTCTCAGAGTGCAGATTGTTTTCGTAACACATCAGTAAAACTAGTTGTGTTGTGATGAATTTGGGGACTGTGAGTTAGTAACTGGGTATCAGTGGAAATACTTCAGAACTGGTGCCAATATCATATCTGAGCATTGGTTCTGATGCAACATTGATGTTTAAGAAAGGTATAACTATGATTTAAATCAGTATATATGTAGTAAAAGAAAGTGAAACAAGACTAAAAATCTGAAATATTTGGTACATTACAGTTTTTAATATTAATTTCTGAGGAGTCAGTCACTATTAAAAAAGCTGAAATGTCCATAATGATACTCAGACTCTTCACCACCACGTAAATCTACATGATGTGCCACAGTTTACATTTAATGCCATTCTAATGTCATGTTACCTCTCGTTACTCAGCTGGTTTGTCTGTGCTTCACAAAGTAATGTTTTGTCACTTTAGCCCCTCTCTGGAATAATTGTTTGTACATGTATTTGTAAAATAGAAATGGAGATCTCACACTCTGTTGACACATTGAAGACTAACAGCGTGAGTGCGTGTACGTTTGCCTGAATAAACATAAATATAATTTGTTCTACTTCAAGTTTTTCTTGTTTTTTTAACCCTTTTTTACAGTTGCTCTTTGTACAGTTGTTACCTTTAGTGTAGACTCAAGCAGAAAAGTATGAATCCTCAGTGTGTGTTGTTATGTTTGTCAGTAGGCGTGTCATGGGTGGACGCAGAGGACAAGCCCCCTTCAACACATTTGGCCGTGGGCAACTGCGTAACGTGAAGGTTGCATTTGCCATATAATGGAAAGAATAATAATCAAGTATGCACAGTTGTATCAGGAAGAAACATCACATTGCTACCATTAATTGGTGCATAAATATTTACCAGACTGCAGGAAATTAAGTGAAGATGAGCCCCCCCAAATGCTGAAACAATACCTAGGCCTTTGGTGTCGTGACCTCAGCTTCAGCCTCATTACTGGTAGTGATGCACAGTGTTTACTTCCCAACATACTCAAACAAACACACTCCTACATGTCCCAGCTGAAGCAGTGACAAGGTGACCTTGAGGTTATTGTGTAGCCTCAGCATCACTCTACACTTTGAACACTTCTCAGTAGTTACAAAAACAGTATTATAGATACTCAAAAAATGACCTCAAAATCATGTTCATAACACTGAGCTGTAACGGTGTCTCACTGTTAAAGCTTGCCCGGTTAAGTCCATTACCAGAGGCTGCTGGCTGTGCAGCATAGATGGAGATTATAGAGATAAGAACTTAATGCCCTCAGACACCTTCCTGGCCTCAAACCCCCTGGTGTCCCGTCCATCACACACTCCTCTGAGCTCATCCACTCTTGCTCTGGACTCTGGAAGACACAGTCGGCCAGCTGCCATGAAGACTGCTCTGGCCCTGCTGCTGCTCATCTCTCTGGTCTGCCACAGTAAGTTTCTACCGCACTGATATCAACACTGGATTCTGGGGTTTCAAAAGTGGGTGAGAACTGAGTTCATTAGCTGCTGGCAGAATAATTGCTGGAGGATCCAGGATTTTTGTGTCTTAAAAGCAGACTGTAGCTGCAGATTGTTAATTTACACAGTGGCAAAGCAGTTTGAGCTTGAGGTCTGCACAATTTGGGGCATTTTCTCAATAAATGGGTCACAGATTTAAACCTGTACCTGTAAGCGAATGGGTGCCTGTGTGTGTGTGTGTGTGTGTGTATGGATGCATACTGGGGTGAATGGACCATCAATAACATGGTTGTCTGCATGTTTACGCTCGTGTGAACATACATGCTAAGTGTCAAGTCAGGTGTTCTCTCCTGCTCTGTCTGCAAAGGCCACGCCCTCAAATGTCACCAATGCGTGGCGTCCAATGAGGACGACTGCAACCGACAGGGCTCCACCTCCTGCCCTCAGTATGCTGACGCCTGCTCCACCATCACAGGACCCAGTGAGTTAACACACACACCTACAAACACACGAGGAAAACATGCAACACAAGTATGATTTGGTTGAATAAAGTATTGTTTAAGTCTCACTAGAGGTCAGCATGACACTGACAACCAACTGCTTCTGTGAGGAAGCATTTTAAGGAAGTCAGTAGAGCTTAAAAATCATGCTCGTGCTGCTTCCATTGACAAAGAAGAAGTTTGAACTCAGTGTTAAAACCCATAAAGCTGGAACCAGTCATATAGAGTGGCTGAATGCTTTGTAGATAAATGGCGTCTTCATTACTGAGTCAATACTTTGTCTGCTTCTGTTGTGTTTGTGTGTGTGTGTGTGTGTGTGTGTGTGTGTGTGTGTGTGTGTGTGTGCACGCGTGCGTGCATGTGTGATCATAAAGCCAGCCTCTCATCATTTGAGGTTGCTGGATGTCATCCCAGCAGTTTATGATAACCACAAACCTCTGTATGCCTACATCTGTGTGTGTCTGTGTGTGTGTGTGTGTGTGTGTGTGTGTGTGTGTGTGTGTGTGTGAGAGTGTGGGAGGGAGTTCACCGAGTTCACAGCGTCATACTGAACTAACATAACTGGTCAACCTTCAGTCACTTCAAAACAATTAAACTGTGCACGTTTGTCGGCGTCACACGTCCCTCTCTCCGTCCCATTCTTTCTCAACAGACACTGTGATGAAGTCGTGCTCGTACAAAGCATTTTGCGAAAAGGCTAACGGCGCCGGCTCCGGAGCCAAGATGGAATGCTGTTTTGGCGACGACTGTAACGGGCCCCACCGGAGCCACAGCCACGGTCACCACAGCAGTGCAGGAGCTCTGGCCTCCAGCCCCATCCTGCTGATCACGGCCCTGCTGCTGCGCGTGGCCGCCAGTCAGCTGTGAACACTTCAACTTTTCTTTTCCTCCAGTGATTCATCATGTGTTCCTTGTCTGTTTAATCATTTGCTGTGTTGTCCATCCATCCACCCACGCTTTTGTCTTTGTCACTCTGCCCCTCAGAGATTTTTAATCGAAGTTTTCGAAAATGATTTGTACAAAGGCCCATGTCTGCCAATGTGATGAAAATAAAAATCTGGTAAGTCATTATGATGAGAAACTTTCTCAAAATTACGACTTAGTATCTCAAAACAATGAGTTAGTATCATTCCAAGTTATTACTTAAAGACAAGTCATTATTGTAAAACTTTCTCATTATTTTGCAATATAGTCATTATATTAGTTGAAAGTCTCTCATTTATAGGTAGTCTACAAAGTCATTATTCTGAGTTAAGTTATTATTTTGAGAAAGTTTTTCATAAATTTGAGACACTAAGTCATTATTTTGAGATACTGAGTATTTTGAGAGCCTTTCTCATTACTTTGTGACACTAAGTCATTATTTTGAGATACAAAGTCATTGCTTCGAGTCACTAAGTCATTATTTTGAGATACTAAGTCATTGCTTCGAGTCACTTAGTCATTATTTTGAGATACTATGTCTTTATTTTGAGTTACTAAGTCATTATTTTGAGATACTAAGTCATTGCTTCGAGTCACTTAGTCATTATTTTGAGATACTATGTCTTTATTTTGAGTTACTAAGTCATTATTTTGAGATACTAAGTCATTACTTCGAGTCACTAAGTCATTTTGAGATACTAAGTTGTTACTTTGTGACATTAAGTCATTATTTTGAGATACTATGTCATTATTTGGGCTACTAACTCAGTAATTTGAGAGCCTGTCTCCTTAATTTGAGCTACCTAATAATGACTACATGATACTGACTCACACAATCTTCATTTTCATCACACTGGTGTGAAGTGGCTTCCATAGCTGTGAGAGTTTCAGGTTGTTCAAAAACAAACAAAGCATTTTTCCGATGACTGCGTTGGTGCAGTGAAGGTGGTCTTTCCCATATACCAGCTTCAACGCCTTTGATTGTGTTGTATTTTGTTTTAATCATTATTTAAATACTTGAATAGTAACTTGATTATCTATAGTGGTGTGTTCACGTTCAGGTGATGTTAAGCTGCAAAGCAACTTGTGAACCTGAGAGTGTTTGTGGTGAATAAGTGTGTACAAAGTGAAGTACACGTACCCATGGTTTTTGTTATAGGGACTCGTGTGGTTTGGGTAGGTGCTGGGGTGCCTCGGTGGGTAGCTAGTGTGCAGCTCGCTTGACGCCATGGAACCACATTATTTAACTGTGTCATTGCCATGGGAACCAGAAAGGAAAGTATTTTAACATGACAATATTGAAAACATGTTAAATAAATTAATAAATAAATACAAATACTTTTATAATGGTGCCGTTATTGCTTGAGTCATTCACTTTTTGTGCATGCAGGCATATCTGAATAAAGATACAACCACACCTTTATTTTTGTGTGTGTGTACATTGTGTGTTTGTGTATGGGTAAGATCACCTTGATATGCATCTAGTGTCCCCAATGTGAAAGCATGCGTACAGTCAAGAGAAAACAGTATGTGATATTCAGCAGAAAAATTAGGATCTGTGGAAATGTCAGGACTTCCTTCTGCAACTGTGTAACTTGAATCCTGTGCAGTCGCCACAGGAAATGAAATCAGTGAGGTAGATTTCCCTCCTCAGGCAGGTCATATGACGTGCAACCACTTCCTCTAAACAAGAGGACACAAATTAACCCAAAGAAAGAAAAAAAGAATACAGAGTCAGTCTTGTAAATGCAGATATGTGTTATTTCAGCACTTACAAAGGTTGCAGTCTCAGCACCGAGGACGATGTAAATGTGTGCCAAACCCAGATTCTGTGTTTAAGCAAGGAGGTCAGCTCAGTTCATCCTCTGAGCTCTCATACTGTCTCTCTGGAGTTTCATCACAGGACTCAAACTGTGGTCACCTTGGTGTAAAGGTGGTAAAACAGTGAAGAAATACTGAAGTACTGTAATTAAGTACAGCTGTGCTTGTTACACCACAACAATCGCCTGATGTTCAAGTTGCTACTTTGCAGATTAAGATTTTACAAAAACACAGAAGATAATATGGCCACAAGGGGCGATTCTGGGGTTCAAGACAGCACGGACCTTTAAAACTTGAAAGCTGCCTAGGATCAAGACCTTTGACAGTCTGCATTAAAGATAAACATCAGGTTCAATGGCGATTAGACAGATGCTCACTCATTTACATCCACATCTCTGCTGGGCCACACTCTTCTTTCACAACACTGTCACTTCCTATTGGTCAAGTGCAGAAACACTTTGGGAACATACTTCAAATGCTTCATTAATATTATTCACAGAGTTTGGTGATGTTTGGACAAACTGTCATTGATTTATGGACAACTTTTGCAAAAAGGCCGATGCACTTGTGTGGAGCTGGAGGCGCCCCCTATTGAGTGGTTTCAAAATAATTTTACACACAGGGTTCAACATTATTATGGAACATATCCTGCAAGTTTTGAATAAATTGGATAAACAATTTCTGATTTGTGTTCTGCTGTGCCCAGTTTTTGCATATGTGGCGCCTCTAGAGGACAATTTGAATGAAACTGTCAGATTATGTGTCTAGTACTTTAATAGACATTTTCTATGGGTTTTGTGACAATTGGCTCAACAGTTATGGAGTTAGGTCCATTTATGTGCTGAGCCACACCCCCTGTAAAGTTCATTGGTCACTGTCTTCAAAACAAAATAGACATCAACAAGCTTTTGCTATTTGTTGTAAGAGTGGTCCAGTGATGATCCACAGAAAATTTGGTACAAATCAAACCTACAGTTTAAGAGAGGACGTCAAAAATGTGTTCTTCAAAACAATCAAAATGGCGGATAACATTGTTACATGTAGTGTTGGGGAAGCTACTTTGCAAACTGCCAGTTACTTCACACTGGAATAAGCTGATCTACAGCAAAGCTACTGCAGGGAGAAATCTAGTTTGGATAACTAAAGCTACTCAGAAAAAGTATTTAAAACTACTTTGTAACTTAACAATCAAACTACAATTTACATGACACACCAAATTATAACAAAATAAGATATAAAAACCACACAAGCTAGAAAAAAAAAGCAACTCAAATGAGTTTACTGCAAAAAGTTTCCACTTGTTCACAGGCACCAAGCAGGATTACTCAGCTAACTTCTAAAATAGCATGCAACAACTTCTCTGAACATTTGTTAATATAAATGTATGTTTTTTCAGTTGAGGTTGTCAGTGTCGTGTATTTGCTTGAGTATCCATCAATCCATCCATTTTCATCTGCTTATCTGGGGCTGGGTCATGGGGGCAGCAGGCCAAGCAAAGTACGCAGACATCCCTCTCCGCAGCAACGCTTTCCAGCTCCTCCTGGGAGACCCCAAGGCGTTCTCTAGATAGGAGGCCCCGGGCTGGACCCAGAAGATGCTTGAGAGGGATTTGCTTGAGTATGATCATGGTGATTCTCTTTATACTGAGATTCGGGAGGTTTAACCATGATGACGCTGAGTCTAAGTGAGCAGTGAGCACTGCAACACCTGCTCTTTTGTACATGCACTATACAAAGGTGAAAGGTCAAATGTGTTGTGGTGGCTGCCTGACCAATGCATGTATCTTTACAGTGGTCAGGATGAAAGGAAAAAAGTAGCGAGGCTGGTCAGAGGGGATTCAATAACAGTGAAGAAGCAATGGTAAAATAAAAATTAAAAAATAATTTCTTTCTTCTCATGGCCCCATATTGTTTCTAGTTTTAGTGGTTAATTGCACAAAAAATGTGAAAAAAAGTGATTTAACTATTTGAATCTCTATGCAAATACATATTTAGTTGACCTACCAGCAAGCTACAGCAAAACATGTATAGAATACTAGTTAAATTACATGTACATATTATTCTGTCAGAACTGTAAGTCTGTAAAAAGGACCATTCTGCATCAGCAACCCCTGAATTTCCTCCGACAGCTTTCAATGACAACACTCAGCTCCTTCAGGCTACTGGAATTTCTTCCACAAAAATATTTGTGCAAAGACGAGTCGGTAAATTTTGGGGGTTTTCTATTAGGCCTATTTCTAAAAAATTTTTAAAGTGTTTTTTTTTTTGTTTTTTTTTTTTGTTAATAATATATGGAATATGGTATAAGGGAAACTGACCTCTCTAGATGTCCCATCTTAACCAAAATTAATGCTATATTTTTGTTCAGGGCTGCAACAACTACTGCCGAGGACACCAAGGTTACACTCTACAGTAACTCACAGATTACATATATTGGGTTTTTAAGGCTGGTTGTATTTTCTTTAGTTCAGATAATTTTAATATTGATTGTTTTTTGGCATTAAACTACAATAGACTGAAGCAAAAGGGATTAGTATTTCCTTACCAGAAACACTTGACAATGTAGAGAAGGACTTGGAACGATATTTAGGGGCAATATACACTGCAACATAACACTAATAATAATAATGATAGTAATAATGATGGAGGTGGGGTGCTGGGAAAATTTGGACTCATTAGCCCTGCTTTGAGGAGAACATGATTGCTTTCAGTAGTCCTGTTGTTGCTTTTACAAATGTAAAAGTACATGGAGTCTATGTTGTTATAGGCACTGCTTTTGGCACATGACCCTGCGCCTTGCACAGCACCTGTCACACTCTCATGTCCCACAGTAGATGAATGACACCATTCTTCACTCTGTACCTGTTTAGCCAGGTTTACACTCCCTTCTTTTATAGCTGCTCATTTATATGAACCAACTGATTCAGCTCAGTGTGTGTGTGTGTGTGTGCGTGTGTGTTTGACCCACTTTTCCAGTTGCCACCTGAGAGGCAACAAATGCATGCAGCAACAGAAAGAAAGATACTGTGCATGTTTTATGTATTGTATGAATAAAAGCATCAAACCAAATGTAGGGAAGAGGGATCCGCATCGCTTATGGTGTTAAAAAATCAAATAGATAAAAGGCTGTTGGGCTGTTTAGTTCCTCTTCTGTGAGCTCACTTAGCGGCAGAGAAGAGGAGGAGGAGGAGGAGGGCCCGGCCTGGGCTCACAGGACGCATAGATCACATCCGGGGCTGGTTTATTCTAATAACGAAACGACCAACCCGGAAAAAAAGACAACTGTT